TTAGTTGCTGAGAAAATAAATACTTTCGGTGGTCTAGTCATGAGTAAATTTCAACTTTAGCGGCCTATAACTTTTGTCAGGACCACGGGAAAATGTCGTAAGGCGAGATTCTGAAGGTTCAAACATTTCTGAACAAAATGGTGTGGGTCCCAATTCTTTCTACTCCGAAAAAAAAACTACCTCAAATAAGCGAGTTAGCGCCGGCTCTCCGCTGCACTAATCAGTCAATCCCTTCATACACGATGGATACAGCGATAAAAATCAATAATTCAAGCCTCTCACCCCAAACGTCAGGATCATCAAGCCTCTATAACAGTACCTGGTCCCTCTGGCTGCTCTTGGCCTGGACCACTGTAATTATAATACCAAATACGTACTGTTCAATGCGTAAGGAATCATACCTCCATGAGTTAAGGACCCTTACAACGTCGGCCGGCCGCACGCACCCTTAAATTGGTCCGGAGTGCTTACGCCGAACTGTGCTTTAAAATTAAAGAATGTTAGCGGAATAAGAATTTTTTTTTAAATTTTTATAATTTTTTATAAATTTTTAGAATTTACTTTCTTTTAACTTTGCAGCTTGCTGAGCGGGCCCGGCAGTAGAGGTTGGCGTAATTAAGTGGAACCAAGCAATGGTATCACATGTTGCGTACCAAACAAGGATCTATCCATTTCTCCACGGCATGAGGGACATCCAGAGACACTTCTCACGACTGCTTCTGATAACGTTTCTGCAACTCATTAAAATGTCAGTGATTAATTATGCTTACCCAATTAAACGCGTTCAACACCTAATTGGAATTTCCCGGTACAAGAACTGCTGTGGTTATCTACACACCTGCACACTGTAAGACTGATAACGTGTAAACACCTTGATTGGGAACTCGTTGTATCCGTGTTTAGACTTGCTATTGGGAAACTAAAATCGATTAATAATTAATTAAAGGCGCTGAAATCTCAAAGTATTAATTCGCCTTCATCTTCGGCGGCTGTAAAAACAATTTAAACGAACGGTTGTAAAACTGATAAATTAACTACAAAACTTACGTGCGTTATTGGGGGTAAAATAAAGAATTAAACAAAAAGGAAAACACTCAGTCCTCGTCCCCTAGAGCAAATAAGTAAATTCCGAAACTGCCATTTTTAGTTCCAACGTTGGTCAGGTGACCATCCTGTTACAATTAATGGCAATATAATGACAGAATTTAACTGCAGGAATAGTATTCAACGTCCCTAAATACTAATTAATAATCAAGACCCTCTTGACACTTAAGACAAGAAGGTACCTTCGGTAATTAGTACTAACAACGCTCGTATTCATATAAGTAATTCATATGTATAACATTTCTAAGGAAAGTTACGCCTGTACCCTTTTATTATAAACGATGAGTCTAATTGCACACATACAATATAAATGATTACACTTTAAGTAATGTAGATTAATCCAATAAACGAGTGCAAAAAGTGTCGGCTGCAAGTGAAGTTTTGTAAATGACCCTCCATGGTTATCGTTACAGCGTGGGGTTTCCTGGATACTTCCACACAAAGCAGTTTGGGAACCACTGCAACCAGTACCTATAATGGATTGGTTTGTGGTACAATGTTTCATTATCCAAATCTCTCAAAATAAAATTGAGAAGGTTTTTGACGATAAAAATTCACAGCTACATTATTTGGATTTAAAGGTAGCTATAGACGAGGATATTTCTGTTTAATTTAATGTTATTCAATATCGGTTGGAAGCCATATTACTAATTAATGCAGTATATATTAATTACATAAACAAAGTTCAGTTGCATCCAGTCAGTAGTAGGTATACTAACTCCTTCCATATTAGTTTCCGAATTGCAAGAGTAGGTACCTTATCTAGGCTTCGAATTTAGAATCGCTCACTTACTTCTTAATACGATTGAATTAAATGTACCTACCTATGTATATTTCTAGAATCCGCGTTTAGTGAATTAACGGATAATAGAGAGTAATATCGCTTTTACCTGTTCACGTTATTGAAATTAAATACACATTCATTCAACCAATCTCATTAGCTATAAGTGATAATAAACAACACTATTTGAGTATAACATTACAAAACCAATTTGTAAAATGCACCAAAGTTCTCATATAACTATTTATATTATTTGTATGTAAACAACAGGGACGTAGATATTAAGCTTACCGTCAAAATTTTGTGAAATTAAACTATATAACAGTTTTGGGGTTCTTCAATGTTAGGCAGTAATAATTTAAAATATACATGATGAAAGGCGTCCACACCAAAATTGCATTTTTTTTAATGAAATACCCTGTATATTCTTCGATATTTCAATTCTATTCTGCGTTGTACTTACAATTATAGTCTTGGCCCTTTGAGGAGAACAAACCCCTTTAACTGATAACTTGAACACCTTTTCTTAAGGGACAAACGCTCGACAACCATAGCACTTCGAATAAACTTGTTCGTAAACGAGAAAAAAACGCTTCTGCTTAAATCGTCTTAACGTTCATTTTTTAAAATGGACGACTTCAATCTTTTAATACCCGTAGCACTTAACTAACCTTTTAAATTTCACAATTAAACAAGACTATCTCCTCAAAAAGCCTCGATAATGACAATACTGATTGTCTTGCAAAGAAATACGCTTAAATACGGCTATATTTTAACGTAAAAAACTCGATTCACGTCTTCCACCAAAAATACGTCACCAACAAAAGGCGCCGTTTAACGTTCGGATCACTTATTTGAAACCTTTCTTTCTCTTCACTTCCGTTCTTCTTTCCTTAAAAAATAATGCGCCTTCAGAAGATCAAACTGTACTTGTGTTTCATACGGCGATAACACATCGTTATCTTGAAATTTAATGAAGCCTATGCAGCGATAACAAAACTTCTTATTTTCGGCCGGAGAAAAACATAAGATAAACTTTTACAAATATTACGCAAATATTCCAGATGTTCAAATATAAACACGTAAATTCTTTATAATGAAATAAACAGAGCAATCATTTAAACGCAATTAACAACTAATGGTTCTGCTACAACAAAATCGACTTCGAGAATCAAATAACTTGATCAACATTGCGTCCAGTCCCAACTCATGACCACATCTAACGTTAATAAGAATAGTTTACACAACAATGTGCCCCATTACCTTTGTAGGCGTACGCTAATGGGTACAATTTTAATGTATGCAGATTGAAACGGCACAGGATTTGCATCCAATGAGGAGTCATCACTGAAACAAACGCCTATGTTGAGGGACTTGAGAAATCCTATTATTTGTAAGGAATAAAAAAATTGGAAAAACGGTGGAAAATTAAATATATCGTCCTAAGAGGGGACTATGTTAAGAAATAAAACGCTTATAACACCGAAAAAAGTATATTTCATTCAAAAAGTCACGGACTTATCGAACTCCCTCGTACCTTCAAAACAACGTTTTTTTAAAGAAGCTTCTTATGGTATTGTAGCGGACGAAATGTCAGGATTTAATTTTCTCTAATTACTTTGCAGAAAAGTGCATCACATCCTGTACCGACAAGGAGGTTAAATATTAAGGGTCTTTTCTTTAACCAACAAGAGTGTTATTTCAATATAGTTTAGGGTTTCAGATAGGATCTAATACGTCTTCATGATACCTTTTAATAACTAAGAATAATTATTATACATTGCATAAATGCATGGAATGCATTTTAATAATTTGTACTTAATGTACATGAGCAATTATTTCTAATGTGGACATCCAAATGTTATAAACATAGTACTTATATCTTTTGAATCTTTGAAAATCTCAAATAGTCGCTGAAAATTTTCATAACGGTGTCATGGTGAATTTTTCACCAACAAAACGGCTAAAGCTCATTGCGTTCTCGGCCAACGAAAAGATCATCATATTAAATGCCATTACAACACGACAATCCTACGTGCCTTGTAGACAGTGTTGTGGAGATGTGTGCAAAGTACACCAGGATGTTCCAAGAGGTCAATTTATAATTTAAGAAAGGAGGACAAGGAAGGAGTCATCACGGATCCTGCTCTCAAATCAGGGAGACGACCACTGGAAATTAATGAAGATGTTAAAACTGCAATTCGAAGAAAGGTTCATTCATTTTATTTTGCTAATGAAATGAAATTCATGCCGCTTTGCAAGATGATGTGCTGGGCATCAGTAGAACTCGATTGTGGACGATACTTCACGAATTAAATTTTTCGTGGGAAACCATCTCAATATTAATGAACAGTCAGGAAATCGTTTCTTGGAGAAGGCAGCATCTTAAAAAAATTAAATAGCACAGAGAAGAAAACCGAAGAATATGAGACGTGGATAATGAAGGTCATACGGTTTCCAAGCTGTGTTGGAGAGATGGTCCACAGGTATTATCGCATCGTCGGGAAAAGCGAGAAGACTTACAATTACCCACATTGGGAGTTCTGACGGTTTTTTTAAGGAAGGGTTGCTCCTATTTGAAGCCAAAAAGACGGGCGACTACCACGAAGACATGAACGCTGATGTGTTTAAAGAATATTTTGAATAAATGCTGAAATTTATACCAGAAGGTTCGATTATCGTTGTGAACATCGGCTTTGTGGTTCAGAGCGTTGGACTAGAAATCCGGAGGTCGGATGTTCGAACCTGGGTTGAGGAGGTTTAGTACAGCTAGTTATACAAGGTAGGTCAGAGGGCAAGAGAGGGGTAGGACGGCAGAGGCTTAGATACATGGACCAAATAGTTAGGGACAAGGGCAAGGGCAGTTACGTAGAAATGAAGAGCTTAGCGCAGGATAGAAAAGGATGGAGGACTGCGTCCAACCAATCAAGTCATAAAATAGTGTTCCCCGAATACTCTCAGATAAATCAAAATTTAGATTGGGCGTTGGGATGGGCTTGATAACATGAAATCATCGCAAATGTATCGGAATGAGGAAAATATAGCGTGATTATTGATTTCCTAAGAGGCGATGTGTGCTTTATAAATTAATAGGTTCCCTCTGATTGCGTTATCTATCTGATATTACAGTGTAGATTGTGATGTCACTGGGCGCAGTTATAGGTGACGCATTTTGAGGTGTTCGTCCAAAACTAAGATGTCGTTAAAGGAATCAGGCAAAAGATTAATACCGTTTGCAGCTGCTGGCCTAGGAATTGTAAGTTACATTTTCAATATTCAAATACTATCTTTTTTGAAAAATGGAATATCTTGATGATTCAGTATATGGACTGAATGCCATTCCCTTAAAAAAGTGAATTTAGACTTTGGTAATTTGGTAACGTACAATGTATTTTAGTTTCAAGGACTGGTATGGACGATTCTTGCAATACTAGGTATAGTATCTCGCTTTCTCGTGATAGACCAAATATCATGGATTACCCACTCGGAAAAATTAAGCAATACCTTAACTGCAATAATGCAGAGTAAGTATACAGTCGGTTCTAAATAAGTCTCCCATACAAATAGGTTGCATATTTTGTACGTAGGCTGTTTGAAAGGTTTCTGAAATCTAGCTTGTAAACCAGCTTTATTGATAGGTACATCGTTTAGGTGGTGACGAAATGTAAATTTTTCGTAATGTATACCCAAATTACGACGAGTAATTGTTTGTTTTTTTTTTCAAACTAATCGAAAGATTCGAAATCAATTAACGTATATCTGTCATGTGTATTTTTGAAGGTACAGTCACTACAGCAACAATCCAAATATTTAAATAACAACATATGTCTGCCAAAGAAAATTCATTCAGATAGAAGAAGTATGCGTAGAAATTTAAGGAATTGTACCAAAGAATAACACAAAACGTAAAAATATTACCGAGGAAATTTTATCGAATTTCAAATTGGGATGAATTAGCGTTTTTTTCTCTGAATCTCAAGAAAATATACTCGAATTTTCCTTTGTTTGCACGCAGGTCATCAATTCTGCTGTTGGGGAATACTGTTATGCAATAAAAAAATTATTTTAAAGCACAATAAACGTTGGAATTACAGGTTTATGTTAGGCTGATCAATGTATTACAAAATATAGGTTTTTGAAGCAGAATTGTATGTTATTTAAAAAATAAAACCAAAAACCTGTAGTCAAAAGGGATTTTTGTTGTGTTTTCAGGTTACCTGTCAATCGATTGTGCTAGTTTACGATTATATTGCGACAATTTTACAATGTACACAATGCAGCACTGTCCGTATGACTGCCTAGAAAATATTATATAGATTTTCTTTAGTTTGCTCGCACGGCATTGGTGTTTTATGACGTCATCACTAAGTATGTTTACATAGCACCATGCAATCAAGAGAGTAGAATACGTATGTAGGATAGACATTTCATTAACGACTTTTACTGACCAATTTATTACTAAAAAATATTTCGGTAGTTGTAACAATTGTAACAGGTTGTCTATGTCGTGACCTTTTACTAACAAGGTGTGCATTATTATTTGGACGTAAAGGAAATTTAAAAAATATATCACTGTAGTTGTGCTTTTTTGTGCTGAATATCGCAGTGAGATTTACAGAAGTTCTTCTATAATTGTTCGTTATGAAACTAAAGGATTTTTATCGGTTAATGTAACAAAACGCGACAAAATAAAGAAAACGGCAGCAAACACTTGTCAAATTTGACGTGTCGCAATGTAAACGTAAACTACCACAATTTCGATAGGCAGGTAACCTGAAAAAAACCATTTTCACTAAAGGTTTTTGGTTTCATTTTTGAAATATCGCACAACTCTGTCTAAAGAACCTATGTTTTATGAAATACGCATTGATCATTCTAAGATAAACACCCAATTAGATCGTGTAATGTAGTTTAAAATGATTTTTTTAATTTTGCTAATACGTTGGTAATGTTCCCCAAAAACAGAACTGATGATTTGCGAGCAAACTAAGGTAAACCGTAATTTACATCTCCAGTGATTGCATAGTGATGGTGTCATAATACACCGATGACGTGCGTCAATGTCGGCAGTCAAAAGACAAAGTAACAAAAAACTATTGAGAAGATTAAAAGCCAATCACAAATAAATCCAGCTAAATATCGAAAAGAATCTACAAGCAAATTGAAAGAAAATTGAAGGTACGAATGGAACAAAACCGACAACAGCCAAGGCAAGCCAACGAAATGAAACTAAAAGAGTAACCTCGAGTTGACATGAAGGAACAAATGTAAAGACCTAGTAATAAATAAATTTGAACAATAAATAGAAGGGAACCCAAGAGTTTCAAAGAAAGAGTGAAGATTGTAGTAAGTGAAATGGAAGAGAACCGCAGTACAGGAAGACAAAATCGTGTGCCAGACATCGCCGACATTAAAGAAGTGATAGAAGGCAATTGAAATTTGTGGGGAAGAGCCTTTCTACAAAGTCTCCAAATCAAAGCATTTCCCCATAAGCATAGAAAATTCGGAGACATCATCCAACTTCACGAAGAGGAAATCAACGGAGCTGTGGAGTTCCATGAGGACAATTCAAGGTCGTGGGGCTCCCTCGGAAGATATTCAAGCTAAAATCAATACCAAATTAGCGCATCTTGAACTGGCGATGAAAGAAAAAACTACTGGTACACGATATTACCCGTCATTCACCCAAGGAACATATTTTAATTGAATTTGAGTCTAGGCATACCAAAAACAATGAAAACAGACAGAGCATAGATAATCGACAAGGTGGGCCCAAGAGAGAGGGCCACTGAATACAGTAAAGTACCTACCGAAGGAATCGAGAAGGGAATGGACGACGCTATGGAAACACTATCGTCGCGGACGATTCAACCATGTTGACCATGTTACGTGGAGGGGGTCAGATGGAGCAATCCAACAGAAACAGGGAGCTTTACCGATCCAGCATCAGAGGCAGGAGCAGGCCGACCGTATACCATTTACCAAATTATTTTTTTAATAAGATAAACGTCGGATCCAATATCGTCCCACTATCATTGCAAGCTTGAAGGCGGAAGAATGAAACGACAAATACATGATACAACGATTTAATTAATAGAAAATAAAAATCAGAAAAACGATGAATTTAAAAAAGAAATATCCGAGCAAGTGAAGACTGGTAAACGTAAAAGAAGTTATGATAGATGAAGGAGAAAATCAGTAGCAGAAACAAAATAATGTACAAACAAGAGCAACAAACAGGAACATTTAAAATTTTTATGGAAGAGCAGAAGTTGAAAAAGAAGTCCAATGTCGCTATTCAAGAAGTGGTGTCATTTTTCAATCCTTAAGAGAACAACACAAACGTAATTGTACTAGTTGAGAGAAGAACGTCGCATTCACCTAAAAAGAAAAGAAAAAAAATGTTAGATAGAGTTGTTAGATCTATTTTTTTTTTTACTTATCTCAGTTGGTTCAAACGAAAATTTTGAGTGGGTACTGTGCGCGAACACGCTGTAGATATGATTTTGGGTATAGATTTCTTCTCTGTTGCCTACTGTAAGATGTACTAAATTGCGCAACATACCTGATTTTGTGAGAAAGCAAGGTCGCAAAATGTTCCAAAAAAAAAACAAAAAACAAAAGATTGAATAGAAGTTCTTCTATATGGGTCACATTACGTAATTGTCTACTGTACCTTGTATAAATTACAGTATAATCGACCCTACAGTAACAGCTCGTTATAACTATTTTAATTTTTTTAGATGATGCATCTGATGGTCCATTGACAGGCGTAGGGTTGTTTGCAGTCACAATTGTGTACCTCGTCATGTCAGTCCTTTGGGTTATTTTGTCGTCAATATTATTTATTTGTAAGTAACCATTGCACGATTCCACCACCATTATGTACTTACATTTACAAATTCGTTTCACTTGATAGGTACAAGGGCACAACGTCACGATTATTTGAATGGAGTAAGAGTTGCATGGGGAGTGCTAACGCTAGTCATATGCATTTATGACGTGATCGTTACAGGAATGTTGGGAGCTAATTACAAGGAATATCTTGATTTGTATAACTCCACCCATGCCTCGGGCGTTCTATACGTACTTATTGGATATGGTACTTTATTTTCTCTTGCAGCTCGTGGATACGTCTTATGGATTATTAATTTAGTGGCTTCTATCTTAATGTTAAGAGGTGAACTTAATCAAAAGACGAAGGTAGGTGTACCTACGGCTTACACAAGAGTTAATTGGATTCTGACATTTTAGGCAAATACCGACATCTACGACTCAAGTACAATCGATGCATTTGACGAACCCAGGTAATCAACTACTGATTACCTTCCGAGATAAACAATCCTCGATCTCGTTACAGAACTCCATATCCAGGTCACAACAATCCTGCCTATGGTTGGGAGAATGAGCAACCGAAGTTCGATGCAAGACCGTCATCCGGCAACCACGACTATCCAGGAGGAAACAATTCCCGGCCGCAAGCAGATCGTGTCGCTGGATTGGGAAAGCAGGGTCCTAAAAGTTATCCACAAAATATTTTGCCTGCGGAACAGCCGAATAATTACCGATATCCCACTCCGCACATACCTCAACCTGATTACTACCCTCCGCAGCAATCTAATCCCGCCATGAAGAGATTTCCGCCGCCTCCTCCTAACCCTAAGTTTAACCGTAATGAAAGGTATTAAAAATTAGTGATTGCCGCCTTTGACTAAATTAAAATACACGGTTATGATTCATTGCTTAGCTATATTTTGTCATTGCGTTTGTTATATTTGAAGAAATACAAAAGAAGTTGCAGAAATGCTGTAGTGTAGTAAGTTGAAGCATAAAGTTCTTGCCCTTTGTGTATGTACGATTGATCGTTACCTAAACGAAATTGGTAAATACCAAGTTAGGTTTTTGGACAACTAATTATTCTAAATCCCTTCTAGGAGTTAAAATACCATGAGTTCATAAGCAGTACATAAAAACGGTTGGGTTAATAGTAGGTAATAAAACAAGGTATCTGTACAAAGGTGCAATTAAACATTTTGTGAAAAACTATATAGAAAAATATATGGTATCTGAGGAACAATCCAGCGTTAAATCAATGGAGTTATTGCCAGTACTAGAGGGAGTGTTGTCCGTGCGGAACGTGCTTATACTACACATGAGTTCCGAGATCAACCAAAGTTGGACTTTGGAAATAGCGTTTGTTACAGTCCTGGAATTGTTTCTTCGTGGAGTTGGTAGTACATGAAACCAATTCGCTACTTTCTACATAAACAAAGTACCAAACAAAAATCGATTCGTTGAAGAAATGGACACCTTAATTATGTGCTTCACTCCACTCTATACTTACAGTTGGTAACTCTGGGGGAAAAATAGGAACAGAGCCATCTAACTTTCAAGGCGAAAGACGGGCGTTTCGGGGCACTTTTGAATCTCGATATCAGTCGGCTAGGACCGGGTGTACGTTGTGTAACACATGTAAACAATGGTAATACCTACTAGGACGGTTCTTTTATGTGTTGGGACTTGAGACATCATCGAGAATGGAATTGAATAAAATTCAGCATTTTGTGCGTAAGAAAAGAGAAGAACAAATAAAATATATTACGCACACAACTGGGCGATATCAGGGAAACCATCTTCGGGACAAAAATCCCGATATAGTCCACACATGAAATAAATCAACTACGGCAACAAAATGCAAGAGAAAATACACAAATAAAACAGTTTAAATTCTACGTAAAAATCAGTTTATCGAATCAACTGCAGTTGAACAGATTCATAAAAACAAAACACACGAGACATAATAAAATCAAATGGAAAACATGCTGCATGAGATGACCAAGCGAAGGTTTGGACTGTATGGGGTACCTACTCCACGGAATATAGTTAAATGACTCATACGGAGAAACATCAAATTAGAGGACCGACCTTCTCGTATACGCTAAGGCACAAGATCTGCCGTCCGCACGAGAAGAGGTAGCAATATATGCAGCTGAGAATCGAACTGCATCCGGTACTCTCTTCAACAAATAATTAAATTGAAATGTACATAGCAAGAGCACACTGGTAATAAACGTGTATCGTTAATATACAGGGTGACAATTTGAAACCCTACCAGTCCCCATGTCTTAGTAAATAAACGAGATATTTTAAAAATTCAAAATCCATTTCAGAAATTTGGGGGGGGGGGAATCACAATGACATAGTTGGCGACGCACCCCCTCCAACCCCCTGCGCCCCAGCCACCCCTACTTTAAAATCTTAAATAGTGATCCCGCATGTGTGATACGTCGTTGGAAAGCTCTGAAAAAATGCTCTCCAACCATACCAAATAGCATTCTCGTTAAAAATCTAGTACTTCGTGTTTTGAAATTCTTCAGAAAATGACAGGTTTTTTTGACAGTTGTAGAAAAATAGATTTCTTCAGGAAAACTAGAGAACCTAACATATAGGGAATCTCGAGAATCAAGAGCAGCTGGCAGCAGATACCATAGATATAAAGATAAATAGTTACTGAAGGGAAAGTAAAAATTCAAGATGAAAGAAGGAAACTAAGCAGTGAAAATTTTATCAACAAAACGAACTAGAACGAACTTATATGCGAAATATACAGATGGCGTAACGAATTACCAATGGAATGCAAATGGAATATTTAAAACTGAAAAAAAAACATTACAATGGATAGGTTCATTGTGTTGGGGTTGCGGTACCTAGAGAAACTAAAAGACTGCAGAGGCTAGAATATATGGACGTATAAAAGAGTCGTCAAATTTAAGTCTGCTTCAGCTGTTAATATCGAAGATCTCCTCTAGAGCTACCGCTGCTAATAGCGTAGACCTGAACACCTACTGCTGCTTCATATCGTATGAACCCCACCGCTCCTATAGCGTGGACGTATCACATGCCACCTTCACTTACGTCAACCCGTTAATAAACCTCATAGACACACAACGTTCGCAAACTAGTAACGCAGGGCTCACTTTTCGCGAATTAAACTGTAGTTTCGTTGTGCGGACAGAGAAAGTAGAAAAGAAGTTGAAGTTGAAAATGAGAATTGAGAAGCTGCAACCGGAGAAGCTTGAAAAGTTACAAAAGCAATGGAACATCAAGATGCAAACGTAGCTGGAAAAGATAACAGACTCAGTCTAGCTGAGTTATTGAAAGGAAAGTGAAAATATAAAATCGGAAAGACCGTATAAATTGAAGAACTTGAAAGCACTACTGAGGACAGAGTTAGAGAAACTGAAAGGGTATACATAGACAAGTTGACAAAGTGAGAGGAGCTGGTATGGAGTTTCTATCAAAAGCAAGAAAATCTGCGGTACTTGTATAGATAAATATGGGAAAGACTGAGGAGAACAGGAATTGGGTGAAATATTGAAACGAGCTAGAGAAGCTAGAAGACATAGTAGAACTGCACGGGGTCGATAAGCCAGGGAAAAAGTAGAGGTTTAAGAACCTGGATCCATTAAAGTGTGGGACGTATAGGCTAGCATTACTACGGCGATGAAAGCTACAGGAGCCGAAGGGCTTCAATATCTCAGTAATCTAGGTCCGGATGTGTTAAAGCACCTACAAAGGATGTATATCTTTAATAAATTTGCTAAATACCAAATAGATCGAAATAATAGGAAGATTGAGATGAAGTACAGACACTCAAGACACTGGAAAAGGTAAAGGAGTCGAAGATACTTAAGTCAAATGAAATGACAAAGATAAAAAGCTCAAGATTTTGAAAAAATCGAGAAAGTTCTGGAGTCGGAGTTAATGACAGGTTAGTGAAGCAAGAAATAGAAGACCAGACGGTGGCTTTATAATTTGATGGTTGACAAACTAGGATGTGCTAGGGAGAGCGCACAGAGAGATGGGATCACTGTGGAAAGATGATTTAATTCTGGGTGCGAGAGGGGCAGAGAAATTAAAGGACTGAACAAACTGGATTAAGCTGAAGTTGGAGCATCTATAAACGTTAAAGAAGCTGGTAATGTCCTAAAAGAAGGGGGAAAAGTTAGAAAATAGAGACAAGCTGGAAAAGCTCTTCATATAGAAAAGAACGCAAACGTTTGAATTAATAGGAAAACTGAAATGAAAACTTTTGGGCTTTGATTGGGTGATCTACTGAAGAAGCTGTAAGTTGGAAAAGTTAGAGATATTGATTTAATATACAGGGTGACAATTTGAAAACCTACCACCCCCCATATCTTAGTAAATAAACGAGATATTAAAAAAAATCAAAATCCGTTTCGTTAGTTCGGAGGGGGAATCACAATGACATAGTTGGCGACGCATCCGGCGAACATAGACGAACTAAGACAGAGAATAATTCAAGAATGTCGAAATATTGCAAAACCAACATTTGAAAAGGTTCGACAAGAGTTTGAGAATAGATTATAACTGGCGATCAAAAATGAGTTGCTGTCGAGTACCGAAACGGATTTTGATTTTTTTAAATATCTCGCTAAGATATGGGGGGTGGTAAGTTTTCAAATTGTCACTCTGTACATATGGAAAATACACTATTGTTATAGCGTATAACTTGATAGAATTATCGAAACCCACAGAATGACACGTTTAGCTCTTCAAATGTTTCCCCACTCGGTTATCCTCAATTTTTTTTTAAAATAAGGCATACTTGATTCGAGTAGCAAATTTCCTAATGGTCAAATAAATTTGATCAATACCTCAAGTGAATGCGTTACTCCTTTATAGCTGTAGCACAGATTGTATTTAATCTGTGGGTGTAGCAATGTAATGTTTGGGATATTTTGTGACCGACGGATTTTAAACCAATTTATGAATGCGCTAATTAGTTTTAAATTGAGTTAGGAAGTCGCAAACAATATCGTCAGCAAATAGAAAATCAGGTTTGAGTTCATCAATAGCACAGTATAGTCTCAGCATACCTAGTGAAAAAACAAGTCAAGTTCATTAAAGTTTACTGTCGGGAAGGGATTTAAAAATTTCCAAAGTAAACATTAGTATTGCTTAGCTCTGTACAAATCTAGGGTGTCCATCGTACGTGACCCTCATTTCTAAGCAGTAAGCGCTCGGGGAAACACTACATTTTTTCTTCTAACGGAAAAAGATGGGCGATCCATCCCTTACCTGGAATGATAACAAATTGGCCATATTAAAAAAGGCAAGATATCTGAATCCTCTCGTAGATTACTAGCTTAATATCATTAAAATCTTTTACGATCGCCATAAAAATATCATTCCATAGTTCCCACGATTTATGCAAGATCACTTTTTACGTAAGCCCGGGTTAAGAATTCGATTAATTTTTTACTCGAAGTCCGCATTTTCCATTAGACAAATAAAAAAGGCACCTTCATATCGTAAAAAATTTCAATTACTTTTTTTTAGAACGAAATCGATTTACAAGTTTACTTTTCATGAATAATGTATACAAATGAAAATGTGTTGTTAGAAATTCAGAAACGCTTCTGTGAAAATCGGAAAGGTTTATCTGTGCAGCGCAACTGCCCATTTTCATTACATGCGAACAACAGTGTTCGTTGTCAGTTTGAAGATAAAAAATAAATATAAAAAGGTTTTTATTGATTTAGTGTGACCTGGTGACCTGCACTGCTTATCCATCGTACGTTATTCTCACTTTATTGTCCATCAAACTCGCGCACTTCCCAGTCGTAAGTGTAACGTGGGATATCGAGAAAATAATGGATCCATTTATTCCAGATATTTCACTGCATCCACGTCACGATTGAGATAGTGTGATGAGATGTAGATTTGGTAAGACGGCATGGTAAATTCACTCAGATAGACAGTAACACAACTTCTTTGTCG